CCCCCCCCCTGGATCCGCCCTTGATGAAAACCATTTCTGTCTGGTTTTTGCCGGCGTTGATGTAAATAGTTACATTAATTTTGCTCTTTTTGCGTGCTACGCCGCATTCCAAATGCTGCTAAGTGCAAAATATAAATTGGAACAAAAAGGCCCATATTATCGGGGCTTATAAGGGTGGGTTTCCTGGGTTAGAATTTCATTAAAACAAATCGATTTCCTTCAGGAAGGTATCCACAGTATTACCAGAAAAATCTGGAAGCAATTGTTGCGATGGAAAAGAGCAGAGCTCAAAAAGGCATTTATAGCCCGTATATACTGGTTGCTCGATATTTTACGGGGTGAATTTTTATGTATTTTTAACGCCAAAAAAGTCCATATACGTATGAGCCCGCAAAGCTTTCCTTATCCAGGTACAGGGTGTTGAGACATTATTTCTTATGCTTCATCTAAAGAACTTTTGAAATAACGTCGATATTTGGACGAAACTTGTGGCGGTTTTGTCACGCGAAAAATTATATTCGATCTTGGTTTTGATTTTGCTTTGTCATAACGATGAAGTTCCATAACGTTTAAAAAAAAACATAATTAGTTACTACCACACACGTTTATGACGCACCTCGAATATTAGGCAATCATTTTGAAATGCAGATCTCTTACACACAAAAAACTTTTGCAGGAAGCATTTTCTTGCAAAATTCATAATCACTGATTTACCGCACTTTGACGCACTAATGAGCAACCATGTATAGACATAAAGGAAGAAGTAAAGAAAACGAGCAACAGCTGAATGAAAAATTTTCATCCAAAGGCTCGCTTTTCATCAGGTCTGACGATTCGTTACTCTTGCAGAGCCTCGAATGTACTTTCAGCTGAATTAAAAGGCTGCAAGTTATTTAATAAGAGACTAAATTAAAATTAAAATAAATAGTGAGTTGTAAAAATCATTATTTGGTTTTCAAAAGGGCTATCGACATATCAGTCTTTCTTCCCTAGAAATTTGCATGTTAAACATAATTTTCCACGCAATTGAATAATTCATGCTCAGAATGCCCCTCCAAACTGCACTATACAAATCACCTAACGGCTGTTAAAGCATAGTGTTTATATCGCTAATATTGACGGATCTGCATTGAGCTGCAGAGGATTGTGAGATCCTCCAGCTAACATTTGACAAAAACGTCGATACAGGAATTGCAGAATCAATATCCCAGCAATTGATTGCAAACATTCGGGATTAGAATCAATTATTATACTGATAATCGAATCTGGTCATCGTAATTCTCAAGCTGAAACGGCTCTTTTTGCAATGGTTTTGGCAATCAATTTTCCATTTTTCAGCCTCCCAATGCTCATAATACTATCGCTGATTGGTTGCTAAAATAATTTGTCAGGCAACAGCTGAACTCGATTTTGTTAAATTCAATTTGTTGTGATCGAACCTCTGAATTGCGGAGAGGGAAATTTGCTTCAAATTGAAATAAGCATTATCTATTTGGACCTGTTTTAATTGACTTCAATTTAATATATGACCTACGCTATGTGTGTTTGATTAAATTAATTTGCCTTTTGCTAGCATTATGGCTATTAAAACTGGAACATATTTGGTTCTGTACTTCGTAGTATACATTGAATTAAAAGGTTTTCAAACATTAAAGATTTCTATCAGAAAACTTGAAAATCTTCATGTGAAGGACATGTGAATCGAAAATGTAGTTTAATCATACCAAGGGCTATGGTCTGTCTCGTATATTGTAAATACTTTAATGCCTGCGAACTAGGAGCTATTTAGCTTCTAAAAAGTCGTACCAAAAGTGCTTATGCGATAACATCAATTGCTTTTTTTTCGGGAAGTTCCTCGAACTAACAGTTGCATTCAATGGGGCAATTAATTGGAAAAGTTGACGATCACGAAAAAGAATCCTAATACTTTTTCCTATCGAACAACTCTACAAGAATTAATGGTTTATTTTGGGTTGGATTCAATGTTCCCTCTTTAGTCCCACATTGAAGTAATCAAAATTAGGAACTCGAGAGCACACGGTCCAAGAAATAACGGACATTAGACTTAATTTATTTTCGATATGGCCAATAAATTCAGAAATATTGTTTCAGTGCTGACGAGGGTTTCGATGGAACTTACCCGACCAACGTCGTAGTCCGCAATAACGGCAGTTGTTTCTACTTGCCTCCGGGAATATTTAAAAGCACATGTAAAATCGATATCACCTGGTTTCCATTTGATGACCAGAGATGCGAAATGAAATTTGGAAGTTGGACTTACGATGGATTGCAAGTAAGTTGAATGCGGATTTCAGCGACAGCTGAAATAAACTAGCCTGCTATTTCGGAGACACTTGTTTCAGCAGCTAACTTATCAGATTTAGGAGTAACAGAGACTTTTCGGAGATATTTTTCCAGGCGCAGTTTTATCAGGTGCAGAAAAGATTAAATCGAAACTTTCAACAAACAAGTCATTTGACTTAACCAGGAAATTGTTGCTTGAAAATATGCATTTCCATTTTAATTAAGTAAATACTCTCAAAGAAGCAATAATCTAATGCAAACAAGAGCGAAGAAAGAAGCCTGAAGAAAGAACAGCACGAAAACGTAATTTTGGAAGTCAAGTCCTTTGTAACCTTATATTTATGAATTTAGTTTCCGCTCCACCGTTATCAAAGGATGAAACTGATATCCGGCGACTTTGATTATTTTTAAGTTGCCTGGGGCAGACAAAAGAAACCTATGCTGACCTTTTTTTGTTAGAAAAATAACCCATCCAACTGTAAAGGCGCGGTAAATGGAATGTTAACTTTTAGACTTAGGGATATTAACAAAACCGGAGAAAGGTATTTTGATATATTGTCTGGTCAAAAACTTTCAAAATCCAGGGTACACGTACAATTAATTACATTGTCTAAAAGTCAGCGCTGGCGATTTGTATCAACTTTGTTGCAGGTTTGAGCATTTTTCAACATTTTTAAGTTTGCGTAATATTAACGGACTTTCACGTCAAGTCCTGAAGGGGAAACAATTAATCTTATATGAATATATAAATAGAATGGTTACGGAAATTGAACCAATACTTGCACATTTTGAAGACATTTCAACCAAAAGCAAAACGCTGCAACAAATGTTCAATAGGTAGCTAACAATTTCCATTAATTCTGCTGAATACGTTTAATGAGATATTAACCCATTACATAAACCAACAAATCGTTAAGCGATTCTCATTTAGGTTTAAGTGTTGACATGCTTCATTATGGCCACGATTATTGCATATAACCTGTTTCGCAGGAAAATATAAAGCTTTTGTATCTAAAAGAAAATAGTAATCATAAAACTGGAATATTCTCCTTTGCCTATTAAACGTGCTTAATATTCCGCAAGCAGTTCAGGTTGAGCAAAGTTTAGGAGCCAATAAATCTGCCCAAAGAAAAACAATGTTTGGCGAAAATGTAACTTTGGAATGTTTAATTCAATGCCCTTTTGTTCAAGCCCTAATATTTTGCTGAGGACCTGAATTAATGGCCAGTTTTGCACAGTGTTATTATTACATTTCTCGTTCACTTTTATTAGATCAATGTTAATAACGCTTTTTATTACAGTTAGATCTTCAATTGCAAGACGATAATGGTGGAGATATTAGCAATTTTATTACCAATGGAGAATGGGATTTGCTAGGTGAGTCTTTATTACCAACCAGGCACTAAAATAAGCAAAAGATAATTAAATATTAATGTGAGTTGTTCTTAATCCCGAGAAGCTTTTAAGAACGTTAATTAACGTCTGCTTGAAGTTAATATATTCGATGTTACTGATGCCTGGCTCCTGAATCATTGATCGGTCTTTTATAAAGATTTTAAGCTCAAAGCACTTTCATTTTGATGTTAATATTAAACAGCCTGAAAACGGAGACAATCCTGATTGATTATAAATGAGATCTCGTAAATCTAATCTTAAAAATGGAGGCTTTAAACTAACAACATTTATGCAGGGCTTTCATTTCAGCACGAACCAGCTTTTAAATTTGACGAATTAAACAAAAGACAAAAGAACTTCTTATTGCTGAATACTTTTTGAGGTCATTTAAAAACCGTTGCTTGAATATCACAAGAATGTAGGCAACATTTTCCTTAAATTTTGGTCAATGCTTGTGTCGAATTTCAAGACAGACTTTACTATTGCCCAGCGAATAACTCCGGACATTTTCAACAATTCATAAATTACCAGATTTCAACTGATACGATCCTCTAAACTGATGGGGAAACTGTTTTTTTTTTAATTTGTGTAAATTCTTAATTTTTTCAGTGCTCATTTCGAAAAGTTTGATTAATAATTAATTGCCTGCTTTAATCCTGAATTTTAAAAATCTTTTATTTTGTAATTATTTAAAATATTTGTTTAAATAGAGTTAAAACTTTCTATGTCGGTTGTTTTGTTGATAGATTTGTCCTCTGTGGCTGTCTATATAATATTCACAAAAATTATTTCGTGACAACAAGGTCCTAAGTTTAACACCCTCAGTTTACTATCCAGACCAAATCCCCAAGACAAATTTGAAGTGTATCTCTCGTATCGGTCAAGTGAAATTATCTCCTAATATATTATAATAACAAGGCTGCATTATTAATGATGAAAAAGATATTAACAAATAATTCTCTCAACGCAACTCGATGAATATTTTATTGCTGCTTCAATTTATAGCGATTTCAAACTAATGGTTATGCAACACACTGACAGTTAAATTATAAAATTAATTTTTAGGAAGATAATTTTAATGAACTTGAAACTTTGAAATTGATATTTGTTGGATCAATGTAACGGTTCCGGCATGGAATAAATTGAAATTTAATGTTTTTGCCGATTTAAATACAATGTAAAATATTGCTATATTCTGTTTACTTTCATTTGTGGCAAGCATCAAATTCAATTTTTTTTTAAATATATTCTACAAAAAAGACTTGCAACGTAGGCAATTACTCGATGAAGTAATGTTTTTCAGAATTGCGAGCTAAAGTGTGTCGACAAATCCAAATGTAGTCGTCGAATTTTGCATTGGTTGTGATGCTGAAGGTTTTGTCAAAGTGTTTCGACGGTTAACGTTGTTTTTAAAGGCCTTTTAAACATCCTCAATTATTCAGTCTTAAGAAAATAAAATAACCAACGCTTCCAGCATCGGTAAAATAGTGTGTGATTAATATAAAGCAAATAACTGCGAGTTAAATTTGCAAGGAATTCATCGGTTCTCGACTTAAAGAAGAAAATGTTTAAGCTGTCACTGCAGTTACATTGAGAGCGTTATTAAAGGCTTATGAATCAAAGGCACAAATAATAAAATATTCATGAGAGTAAAAGGAAAACACAAAAATAATAAAAAGTGTACTCATAAGAAGATAGTTCTGATCGGATAAGCTGACGCTTTTGAGATACAGACGCTTCGTACCGATTTACGAACACTCGGTACAATTATTTGAAACCAGCAGTTAGCTTTTGAAATCGTTTTAGTGAACTCATAAAACGTGTTATTGACATAGAAAATATAAAATTTGAAAGCATTTCGCCCATAACGCGATTAATAAATTATTTACTGTTTTTCCTTTCAGGCGTTCCAGGGAGAAGGAACGAGATTTTTTACAACTGCTGCCCCGAGCCTTACATCGATATTACATTCGTCATAATAATCCGAAGGAGAACCCTATATTACTTTTTTAATCTTATCGTGCCATGCGTATTAATCGCTTCTATGGCTGTCTTGGGGTTCACATTGCCCCCCGATTCGGGAGAAAAACTCTCCTTAGGGGTAACCATTTTGCTATCGCTGACCGTGTTTTTAAACATGGTAGCGGAAACAATGCCAGCTACATCGGAGGCTGTACCACTTCTGGGAACGTATTTTAACTGTATCATGTTCATGGTTGCTTCGTCTGTGGTATCAACAATTCTAATTTTGAATTACCATCATCGCAATGCTGATACACACATTATGTCACCATGGGTAAGTAAACATTTTAGTCCTAGTTGGGGATTGGCAGGAAATTTATTTCTATACTGTCCGAAAGAAACTGCAGAAATTTACCGGAAGCAATTTAGGCTTAGGAAAAGATCCGGAAAATGCCGGAAATAAAAACAGGATTCTTAGCAAGGCTCTTGGTGTTCTAATTTATATTTTAATTTAGGAGCTTTCGCTAAGAATAGGAATTTAACCTAGTTCCAGCGAGAGAGATACTACATAACAAATAATGAGAATTGCTGCCGAGTATAATTTATATTTTGATTAAAATACAATGACCATGTATTATTAAAATATACTTTGGCTGGGTGCACTCACGCCAATAATATTTGCTTTGTTTTATTGTCTCTTTCAATTAAATGCGAATTTGTATATTGAATATCCAAAGTTCCTGTATAATGAACCGTGGAACTCGGAACTTGGGTAAACAGATACGTATACAATAAATTAAAAATTTTAGAAATGTAGAATGTGATTTCGCTCTAGTCGAAGCAACCCGTGCATGCCACTTTCTTTAAAGCAAAGTTAGCTTGCAATACATTGTTTCTAATTCTATTTTTCAAAGGTGGATCTCGTCTTTATTTATTATCATACAACCGACAAAATCAATTAGTTTTAGCCCGAAACCTGCACTTTATTTTGCTCATTAGATAATAAATACATGGCCCATGTATTATTCAGCGGAAAACACTAATATTTTGACACCCCCAATTTACATATTACTGGTCTTCTGGGGAAAACTTGACCAATTAATGTTGAAAAAATTTGCAAAAAAATATAAAATTCGTAAATCTGAGAAACTCCCTAATAGCTTGCTCGCCTAGTAGAAATGGCATACAACAATATCATAAAATTCAGGTCAACAATATGGGCCTAAAAGTCTTACATCTACATGGTTAACAGGCGCAAAAGAATGTGAAACTTACCGAAAGCTGCATGGTGCCACCTGGAAAGAAGGAAGAACATGTTAATACAGCAGGAAATCTTCCAAAACCATATTATTGAAAATCAGCAAAGCATGCAATAAAATGTAATTTTGTTGCAATTTATAGACTAAAAATCATTCTTACCAAATTTCTGCAAGTTGGCGCCCATCCTCCATATTCTGCCCATTATTCCTCAAAAATTCCTCCCGGCACTTGATCACACAATGACAATAGATTCGGAATTGAGAACTTTATTCGTGCAGTTAGCAGACAGAATAAACTACCGAACTTGCCTGAAGGGCCACATTGATTCCCAACTAAGGACGCGATTTCCACGACACAAACTACACACGATCTATTGCGAAGTTGTAATAAAAACTCTAATTAGTAAATAGAAATATTTAAAAAAGCAGCCTGGTGTTCCTAAAAAAATTGTATGTTAACGCAATGAATAGTACCTATTTGAATAGTTTAAGGTGGACGAAAACACTTTAATTAAAAATTAAGAATGATTTAGAAATTATATTTGGCTTATTCATAATGAACCTACTATATCCAACATTTTTCCGCATTCGTAGGCACCGAACTACAAAACCAACATGATGATATAACCATTTGTTTTATGGCCTTTTAATGCCTCATTCCTTGACTTTACACTTTTGTTGACTATTTTGTAGAAACTGCCATGTTCAAAGACAAATTTCACGTTCCCACTCGTTCGGATAATAATCGTAAATAAAACAGGTTTTTAGCCAAAAATAAACAAATCCGGTGATGGGGCGCATTGGACTATTTATAGTAGATTAAATTAAAATAAATCGAATTAGCTAGGGAATGGGATATTTGATTTTGACAAGATTTTTTCGATTGGTCTTTCGCCAGATTTTCTTGACAACTTTAACTTTTGATGCTGGATATGTTCGGCAAAATCCTCTTGAATGGCAGATCCAGATTCAAGCCATGATATGGTTTGTCTAAATTGGGACATTAAATTCTGGCACATTTAATTTATTTGCTTGTTTCAGGTTTTCTATAATTATCTTAATAGTAGGTACATGATTTCTGTTTTCGCGGATGTTGCTAAAGCTTTCACATGTTCTCAATATAACTTAAAAACAACAAAAATTTTCATACGCTAACTGATGTGCCCGTAATTTTCAACTTGGCTGAACGCTGCACTGAAAATCCGCAGCAAATAAGCTACACAAAAATATTAAATTGACAGCCAATATCTCGTAAACCAAACACTTTTGGAATATTGGCAAATAAAATTACCAATTTGCTTACTTAGTCTTCTTGAGAATGATTTAGATCACTTGCCCGCAATGTTTTTTTACGCCGGCAAATTTTCCTACTTATAGTTTACCATCTGTAGATCGAAGCGCTTCTCGTTGGGACACCCTGTATATCTATTTTAATGTTCAAAAGTGTGTTAATTTGATGGAATAACTAGGTCATGGCCCTTAGGGCATTCAGCAGCAATCAATCTGGGGTTTAAGCTGAAAAGTTTGGAGACCCATGCTTTGGAGCGTGGAAACATATTTTATATTTGCATTGCATTATTTATGTGTATGTTTGCAACGAGCCAAGCAAAAGGAAATGGTTTCCTTTATACAGTGTTTACAGTTAGCAAATTTAAATTAAAATACTCAAAAAAACCGATGACAAAATTCGAAAATGTGTATTTAAAACGCCACTTGGTTATCTTAAAATAGCAGCATTTGTTCCTATTTGCCAGCAATGTCGAAAATTTGACAATATCTCGACTGGAAACAAATACAATATAAAATTTATCGAAACATTGCAATTTAAATACCTTTTACAACGTCCCCTATATCAATCTACATTATTGATTGCCGTGCAAACTATGTAAAAATGTTATCTATTGCATACAGTTACTAACGAAAATCAATTGTTTTGTAATTCACAAATGCATGCAAATTCAATTTGCTACCGTCCAGTTGGTTGGCTAATCCTTGAACTATTTTTAGCGAAATTTCGTACATCGAACAATAATAAATTTTAATTAATTGGGATTTAACAGAGGCAACCTGGCATATTTCACGCCAAATTAAATAATTAGATTTTGCATCCCGAAAGCGTAGAGTCTCTGTGTAAAAATTGTCCAGACTCTTTCCGCCTTGTGCCCCTCTAATTTGAATCTATTTTATTGAATATTAACTTCTGAACTCATTGATGATATCCGTAATCATCTTTACGGCTAATTACATGGGAATCTGAGGAAATGGAATTCAGTAGATGAGAAAATTTAGACATTAGATTGACAATTTAACTCTAGGATATGTAGAAGTAAGTTTTACCTAATAGAATTTTTTAAAGTGGCAGATATTGATGGAAATGTCTCAACCGCCTGAAGTGGCACATTAGTAAATCGATCATTTATAAAGGTAATGTATTGCCCCCTAACATGCTAAGGCATCAATTGGTCTACATATTCATCACTTTTGATAGAATCACTTAAAGGCCAAATACAGTTGAAATGTCCCAGTTTATAAACTCCTCAATAAAAACTGATATATATATATAGAAATTACATAGATGACACACACGGAAACTAGCTGCAAACTGTATCTCGCGCTGAAGTATTTCGTATTTCCGCTCCAAAGTATCCTATGTAGCTGTTAATCGAAATAAAAGTTCGAGCCAAGGATATTGATTGAAGCGAGGAAATGAATCAAAAATCAGTTAAGTAAAAAATTGGACCAACTTCTAAGCAATCCAATTCTATACTTAATTTCTTTGCAAGTCGCAGCCTTCACAAAGTGATTTATGCTAACTGATTCTTTTAGGGCGGCGTGACTATTTGAATTGTAAAAGTGAGAAAATTAACCATAAAAAATGTAGCTGCAAAGAAAGCCCGTTTATTTAAGCTTGTAGATGGAGAAGATAGTCGCACAGATCAGATGAATCATTCCTTATCGCAATTGTGAATGAACAAAAAACATTATCTGGGTCAAAAGTAAATGGAAAACAAAAACAAGCCAAAAGCAAATTATAACTCTGGGAAACCCTCAGTTTTCATTTCAGATTGGAATCAAATTTCCCTCTTTCGCCCACATATAAGACTTATCCTTAAATCGAAGGACGTGGAAAGGTATTTTTATATTCGTGGCGTCACCTCAATCAGTTTTTATAATAAAAAAAGCATTTCACGGAGAGTTTCTTAAAAAGCTGCGTGAAATTTCCAAAAACCATTACACTCGATTTCTGAGGCAATTTATTTAATCAACAAAGAACAAGGAAACTTTGTTTCTGTATATCAAAGGTTTCGCTATAGAAAGTAGGCAAAGTAATGTTAAAGTTTATTTAAAATTCAGCCGTATATTTTTTAGAAAGAGCACGGAGTCGTAAATTTGTATTTTTTAATGCGGTTTTCCGCTGATGATCCGCAAATCAAGGTTATGAGCATCAACTTTATTTTTTCAAATGGAAGCACCTGGTTTTTATTTCAAATTTGAATTCTCCATTCTATTCTATGTAGCTGTGTGTTAACTTCAGATACTGAGAAATTTTCGATTGGACCTAACAGTGATTAATAGAGACGATTTCTTTCAAATGTCTGTAGTCTTGAAAAGTACCAACTTTGTTCAAGAAGCAGAAAATCAATCAAATTAAGTGTTCAAAATGTTGCCATTTACATGTCAAAATAAATGCTTCCATTTGAAAAAAATTAGTTCACGATAGTTTATTGTTTAACCATTTTTAACTTATTTTTGAACCATCTTGTATAAATAAATTTGACATAAAAAATCGCATTTACAAACAGAAATTGACGAGTCCCGGCCGGGAAAGCCGGGAAAGCCCGATAAACTGGGACTGGAAATGATTAAAATCCGACTAATATTTGCAAAAATTTCCGTCGCTAAAGATGAAGTTAGTTTTCCATTACCGCATGTTATCGTATGCGCCCGAGGGTCTAATGGACCCACTTCGATGCCCAAATACATTTGATAGTTTTCCTAGAAAAATCTCGAACAAAAATAGCTTTTCGGCTGCTTCTGTGGCAATTCAATCAAGAAGTGTTTTTATAAGCAATTTAAGTTTGAATAATTTGCCACTTCGGATCGAACACAATCTGCCAGAAGGGCGCTCAGAATCGACGATTCGTAAAATTTGCATACTTTTTTTGCAGTTTAAGTTGGTGTTCCTAATATGGCTTCCCAAGTGCCTGTACATGCATAGGCCTGGAGATAAGGAGAATAATTCTACGTATTCACCTCCACCCAGGCCTTCATCGACCCAGGCAGACAGGAAGACAATACACTTTCCAGATCTCGAGATGAAGGAAAGATCATCGAAGAGTCTGCTAGCTAATGTTCTGGACATTGATGATGACTTTCGGCATAATTATCGTAGCGGGGGCACCCCGACACCCCTGCCTGCTACGTTTTATAGGACTGTTTTCAGGTAAGAACATGTAGAACATATAAAATGCGCGTTAACCTCCTAACTCGTTTGTAACTAGGAAAATATTACGCGAAAAGGTAGAAACAGTCTGCTGAACTGAACCTTTTTTGGCAATAAAACAAGCAAATAAATTTTAAATTTTCTGTTTCATCTTTATTTCATATTCCGGCGCAAAGCGACGGAAATTTCATAAAGCGTATATACATTTTTATGCATCTGACGAATTTATTTAATTTAATAACAGAGTTTATAAATATTCCTATATTATGAAAATTCCGAACCGCCACTTTTATGTTCAATGCAACAATTTGAAGTTTATTATTATTTAAATTAAGGGTGGACGTTAAGAAAAACTTTCATCATTTGTCCAATCACTTGGCACTTCTGCCCTATCTATTACCTGATGTAATCGAAAAAGGTGCTGGTTTCAGTTCAGTATTTCCAGGACGACCAGGTAGCAAAACGGCATTTGTTATATCAGATTCGTTTTTTTTTATTGGAGAATACGACAAAATCCGTAACACTTTAACAAGGACTGACCAGAGGAGTAAAAATATTTTTTTTAAAACTTAAAAAGTTTTTCCATAAAGGTTGATGATACCAGTAAAGCTCTAATAAAAGGTTAAGTTTTGTGCCAGCTCTTCTCAAAAATGATCTTATAAGACGAGAGAAGGCAAAGACGTGAAGAACTAACATGTAAACACTGGCAGAATAGCGCGAGTAGAAGAAATCTTAAATATCATTAAGAAAAAATTGAGAAGTTATGATTCTCTTATTCCGGTATTCTACTAAGCACTTTTCCAAAATTTATTGGCCATTAAATAACGAAGGTCATCTTCTTGGCCGTGAATGACTTTTCATTTGGATATTGCTCTTACAATAAATTGGAGCAATTTCAGTAAAACCGACATAAATTTCAATAATTTGTGGAAACACATGTATGTCATTGCACAGTTAGTATGGGTTAGTTTCCCAGAAATTTCCAGACAATTTTCTCAATCCGCAATAATTTCCAACATGCTTCGAGTTCGCAATAAATCGTACGGTTTATCGATAGCAGCCCGATTCCACGCTTTTCCAGTAATTAGCCCAATTTAGTGGCCAATAAATCGGGGAAAAGTGCGTAGTGCAATAGTGACATTGAAAAAAGCCAATTCCGCTGCAAAAAAGTTGCAACTCTTTGACTGGATTTTCTGGCCTTTGTCGCATTTTTGCAACAATTTGTTAACAGCAGTTTTATGGGTTTAATTTGTATCCCTCAACTCTCTGGAGATGAACATATGTTGTCGGCGCCCCTGATGATGACTGTTTAGCCAATCGAAATCGGGCGGAACCAATTTTAATTAATTTTTTCCGGTGTGCATTTCACCCGACGACTTCATTTTATACGCAGCGCTGAATTTGCGATGCGTGTTGAATTTTGCTTAAAGTTCATTTAAAATAAAGAACTATTTTCAAGTTATTTCCAAAATAGTTCAAGTGGCTTAAATCTATCAAGTTATAATGGTTTTCGATAAAGGATTAATTTTCTCGCCCGACGTAGAAACATATAGTGTCACATTTAAAATATGCGAGAAATTTGATTGAAAACTATGCAATTTTGAAACATTTAAAAAAGTTTTTGGACTTTCGTGAAAAATGTACATTAAAATCAAATTTCCATCAAGTAAATCTCGAATAAACCGAAACACCATGTACCGCTTAGCACTAACAAACATTGTAATGGAATAGGAAAGAAAAACTATCGCTTTTCGCACTTCAAAGTCCAATCCAATATTTCACACTGTATTAAATGCCATTAGGCTCTATATTAATACTCTGGAGAATCATGAAAGCATTAACAAAGGATCGATCCAGAAATCCTTACAATCAAAATTCGGGACAGGCT